CTCTGTGAATCTTATCTTTTATTACAGGTGGTGCAGACTTTCTGAGGAGACCTAAACATTTGACTGAGAGCTATTAAGCCAGTGTTTTTTTTATCCTGAGTGTCTTTATGCCAAATAAAAAATAAGCTGTGATGCTTTGAAAGTTGATGGCAAAAATTAATCCTATAAATGTACTGAGTTTTATGATAAATTTCTATTGCTAACATGTCATAATTTTTAAGATTGCTTTCCAACTCACGCTGACTTCAGGAAGGTAAGCCTACTGAAAACACTGGCTTGATTGTTGTGATTATCTGTATCGTTTAGATTTGCTACAATGTATCTTCCAATACTGTTTTGCAAATTAGAGCCTAATCCTATTGCCTTTGAAGTTGACTAGCAGAAGTCTGCTGGTTTCAATGGGGGGATAATTCCCTTTTTGTGAACAGGGAAAAGCATTTACATAAAATAATACTGTCAGAAATGAAGAATTCCCTAGTGGTATCTATAAACTCAGAGAGCTCAAATTCTCACCAAATGTTTATTTCAGAAGCAATGAAACACTGCATGTTTTACACTGACATGAACAGCTAGAACAATTTGACTACAGAAGCCATTATTTAAGATTTTCTGTGTCCATTCCAACACTGTGTCCCCTTCTCTCTGTGATTGTTACTTCTTGATATTCTTATATCTGTTGTGAAGGATACCAGTTTGCTCTTTGCTTTAATGATTTTTATTCCTGTAGTGACAAGTATAATACCTATTGCAACCCTAACAATATGCTAAAAATCAAAAGAAAATATCTCTATATATCAGTGATACACTCAATTTGATGTGTACTTCTATACTTATAATTACTTTCAATTCCCATTGCTATTACATATGAGCACAGAAAGTTTCTTGTATCCAATTTACATATTTAATTTGCTTAATGCCCTCTGGCTTCAGGCTTAAGAGCGTGGAAATTTAAAAGGAAAAGTGATATTTCTAATGCTATATACTACTTGTGCTTATTCCATTATAAAATTGGTATTTTTCATATTGGAGATTCTGGTATTTTATTACGCCTTGTCTCTCTCCAATCACAATAGAAACCAATGATTCAGGACATACCTCCTTTATGGAACTGTGATATATCCTTCCAAGCAGCTAGAGGAGAATACTCTTGGGAATATTAACAACTGTCATGAATGTAACATACATAATGAAACCTATTTTTATCACTAGGATTCATGCTTTTCGGCTATTCAAGAGACATAAAGGACCTGGATATAGGCTTTAATGAGTTCCAACCTAAAGGAAGCTTCCAGTCAGACAACCAGAGCTGGACACTCTTCCCGGCTGCCTCTGGGGGGACCTGGCCGTTTCTGAGCTGCTGATGCAGTCCAGCACGCAGTCAGCTGGCACAGATCACAGCAAGACCTCGGCTGCTCTCATCTTTGGTGGGACTCGGGCTTGCACTGGACAGGGAGAACCACCAGGCGGTTGTTACTGTCATCCTGACAGACAGTGGTAACCTCAGCACTCAGCAAGACTGAGACTCTGATTTAATCTATGTAAGTGAAGTTGCACTGAGGTGAACACACGCCAGGACAATTTTTCACTTCTCCCGCCAGTCAAGGGCACCCCTCCTGTTCTCCATGTTCCAGCCCCTCTCCTGGCTCCCTTCTGCCCCTTAGTGCTGCTGTATCCTCATCCCCTTCCCACGCCAATCCCTAGTTGCAGCAGGTCTCCGCTCCCTGGGGATGCTTCTTGGGGTATCCCCTGAGTTTGAGAGAGTTACAGAAATGGGTTTCACACTGGGGGCACAGGAGGCAGGCAGTGCAGATCTCCCTCTCCTGTACATTCAGGTAAGCCCAGGCACCGCTCTATTCTGTGCCACTTGGTGGGAACACAATAGCGCTTCAGAGCACTAAAACAAACAACAACAAAAAAACCCAACCAACCCACAAAAGCTAGTGATGCAGTCATATTTCTTTCAAAGAGAAAGCTACATCATTTTCATCCTTTCAACAATGAAAATAAAGGAAGGAGCTACAGGAAGACACAGTGCGCTTTTTGGTGTATAGTAACAGAGTGAGGCTTCCCTTACCTTTCTGCTGTTACCCTTTCTTTCTGCCAGTTTGTGGTGTGCTCCGTAAAAGAGATGTTAAATTTCATGCTCCAGGGCTTAAACCAGTATCTGGCTCCAAATAACAAGCATATAACATGGGAGACAATACCTGTCTCTGGCCACTGCACGACTTGTTCTGTCTTCTTCAACACCTGTGGCGTGGTGCTGGCTCCTGTCAGGAGCAGGGTACTGCACTGGACAAACTGGTCTTGAGCCAGTTGGACACTTCTGCTGATCCTAAACTGAAGGTGCAGAGAACCTTGTGTTTTCAAGATCATCAAGTCAGAGGGGCTAAGGCTACAACCAGCAGTGTGTTTGCCATCTCTGGAGGAAACCTCAAGGAAGTCCAATCTTACACGCTGGCCCAGCAAGTTAGAGGAACCCAACGAGAGCTCTCACCAAAGGCAGTGCCTGGATATCATCCCATCACCTTGATGCTCCTGAGTTAGTTGCCGCTGACAAACCTGAGCTTCACAGGAGGCAGCCATTCCAATTGTTGGAGCACACGGAGCAACCTCTGTGTTAACACTTCCCAAGCAAGACAGAGGCGTGGGGTTACCAAATTCCTAAATCATGTATCTCGACTTTGCTCCAAACCCAGGATTTCAAAAGATCTGTGTGTTATCCTTGCAGAGCAGACAACCCCCACTGTAACCTGCACCTTAAGGGCAGCCAGCGGGGAGGAGGCACTGAGCCAGGACTCTCACATGAAGGCCTTTGCATTGGTCCAGCAAACTGGCCGTACTGGGGCATGCCGAAGTTTATTTCACCCCATGTCAATTTCCCATTTCTGCTACAACAGACACCATCTGCCTTTCACGGCCATGGGCTTGGGGGCGACTTCTTTCCTAAAGGAAACTTCTGCTTCACCTTAACCTTGGCAAAAATGTGTATGTCTCCATTGGTTGTTTTCAAGGCGTCCTTGTGAAAGAAACAAACCACCTCACTTCAAAATGAAGAAGAGCGTAAAAACGATGGGTCCATTTGTATTTCAAAGTTACCAAAATGGGAGGCGAGGGCTCCCTCAGCTCTAGATCTTGGCACCGATCCGTGTTGTTGCCAACCACGGCAGCACTTGGGCCGGGAAAGGCTTCTCACAGGCCAAAACCCCCGGCAGCGGGTAAACACCTCCCGTCTCCGCCAGGCCCGGGCAGCGGCTGGGTGTGCCCTGTTTTTCTGCCCGTCCCGGCTGCATGGAAACCCTACAGGAAACCCTCGCCCGCTTTGCCAGTGGGGAAAATTACAAGTGTTTTCTGCAAAAACTTTCCAGACCTAAATTCGGTGCAGCCGCCTCCCTCGGGCCGCTGCCCGGCCTCCGCAGGTGCGCACACACCCGAGGCGCGGGGCCGGGGCCTGCCCTCGGCCTCGCCTCAGCCCGGCCCGGCGGGGACCGGGGGGTTCAGCCCCGGGGCGAGCCCGACCCGCGGCCCTGAGGCGGGGACGGGGGACGGGCCGCTCTCCCCGCCGCGCCGGGGGTCAGCCCCGCTGAAGCGCCTTCCATCGGCGCGGGGAGACCCGTCCCCTCCGCGCACAAAGAAGAGCGGGGCCTGCGGGACAGCGCTCCCCGCCGCCGGCTCCCTCCCCGGCGAGGCGAGGCGGAGCGGAGCGGAGCGGGGTGAGGCGGGGCGG